ATGGTATCGGCATGGTATGCGGCATCGGCACTATAAATCGGCATCGGTCCGGACTAGTACAAGCAGCCACACAAACACAAACACACACACATACATGTCGCTATATTTTTATTTGGGTTAGATATTTAATTATTTGGGGTTGGATATTCAATTATTTGGGTTAGATATTTAATTATTTGGGTTAAGGCTAGATATTTAATTCTTTGGGGATAGAGTAGACATATGATTTGTCTCAGTAAAGATATAACATATATTAGAATTTGAAAAAAATGTTGCTTTCATATATTTTGTACACCACACCTAGCAAGTATGACGAACAGCAATCACATCCAAGGTCACAAAGAGACATGGCTACTCAAACCATGCCCTAACAATCTTTCACAAAAGCTGGAGGGGCGGTCGGGTAGCCTAGTGGTTAAAGCGTTAGCTCGTCACGCCGAAGACCCGGGTTCGATTCCCGACATGGGTACAGTGTGAAGCCCATTTCTGGTTTCCCCCGCCATGATATTGCTTGAATATTGCTAAAAGCGGCGTAAAACCATACTCACTCACTCACTCACTCACTCACAAAAGCTGGAACACCATTGTTCACGGGAACATTAATCTTGTATAAAGACTTTGAAATAAACTGTTTATGATGTGGAATTTAGCATATTCTACAGTCTGAACGGTGTTGTCAAATGGAATACAAAACCTGGTTATTCTTTGGTCTAATCATGACATATGCACTTATTTTGGGTTAGATATGTAATTATTTTGGGTTATTTTATTAGTTTGGGTTAGATATTTAATTATTTTGGGTTAGATATTTAATTATTTTGGTTTAGATATATAATTATTTTGGGTTAGATATTTAATTGTTTGGGTTAGATATTTAATTATTTGGGGTTGGATATTCAATTATTTGGCTTAGATATTTCATTATTTGGGTTAAGCCTAGATATTTAATTCTTTGGGGATAGAGTAGACATATGATTTGTCTCAGTAAAGACGTAACATACCGTATTCGACGTAATAAGCGCCCACGGCGATATTTGCTAATATATTGGCTCGTGAACAATCCCAATTAGCACCCTTTCCGATTGTTCAATGTACACAATTATTTATTCGCGTATAATACGCACTCGTGTGTTATCATGGTTATATGCACCGTTAATTATGGGCCATTAAATGCTGGAAAAACATATCTCTCGTATATACATTTCAGGCTGTCAGCATAAACCCCAAAATTTATCTTTCAACTCTGTTTTTTTCGACAAAATAATATTCTAATGAGAGCCCCCTATTTCTAATTTTGAGAGAGCCCTGGTTACTTATTACGTCGAATATGGTATCTTAGAATTTGAAAACAATGTTGTATTCAGAACATACCCTACAGAAAACATTCATTCAGGTTCGCCATGAATAAGATTGCTGATACAACATTAAGCAATAATCATTAGCTGACTCACTTAACAGCTAACTTTTCTTATAAGCAACATAATTGTTTTTTATTTTTTCATTTGTAATTTTGAACCTGTTATTTCTAAAACAGATTTACCCAAATGAACTCTGACAAATCTTCTATCATGTTGCCACCTGCCTCTTGCCATATTGACCAAGGAAATATATAAACCAAGACATTTAATCAGTCAGAGCTTAATACACATGTAATAGGAGTGGCCATAGTGGATAAATGTTTTTTTATGGAAATGCGAAACATTTTCCCAGGGAGGAAAACTTACACGCATGAAATGAATGTAATTCCCTAAACAACAAGTTAGTTTAAACCACTCAGGCATATCGTTCAGGTGAAAGAACAAAGAATGTTTGCTTCCAAATCATAATTGAGGTACCCGGTACCCGTACTGCACGTTTTTAAGCCCTGGGCTTAATAACGAATTTTACGTATTTTAGTTGAAAAACAATTTATTCAAATTTAAGCCCAGGACTTAAAAACAGAAAAGGACAAAAACATGATAGGAAGAATCATAATCCCAAGTTCAATGAAACAATACTCAAGTTGAGAGCAACTCTTCAACAGAAGACAATATTTTTAAAGGTATAAGTCAAGAACACGTTCAAAATTGAAATGACACCTGTAAAAAAAAAGTTATAACAAACCAATATTGCAGTTGTGCATGTATGTCATATTCTTTTAAAATGTCACACTGAATACCCCAGAATATCACCTGCATTAAGGGTTCAAGGTGCCTCGCTAATGTGGAAACCTCCAACAGTGTTTAAGTCGCAGTATTGGGGGGAACTTAGACTAACATTTAGTCTCTGAAATCTTATATTACACAATATCCTTCTTGACTCTAAATTTTTTTTTTTAAATTCCCTTAGCTGATTTCAGAATAGAGCTAGCTTGAGCTGGCTAGACTTGCTTTTGTATATATTTCTAGATTATGTTTTTTAGCTTGAGCTGGCTAGACTTGCTTATGTATGCATTTCTAGATTATGTTTTTTTCATAAAATAAATATATTCCACGGTCATGGTGCAGGACTAGGGGGAACTGGCCATATGGAGTGTGCTACAACACATGTTGAAGGATATCCGGTATGGGAGATCAATAAATTTTCAATTTTATTTAAGCCCATAGGTTTTAAAGCGTTACATATTTTTTTGTAGCCCACAGGCTAAATATCGAGGTGGGGGGGGGTGGGGGGGGGGGGGGGGGGGGGTGGGTAAATATGCACTGTCCCTGTAGTTTTAAGCTTCATAAAACCATTCTGATTGTTTTTATCCATTTCTGTTATAATCCAGATGCACAGCTGCACGCACAGTGATAGGAAGATTATAGGTTGGTGTGCTTTGTACATGACTGAGTTTGTGACAGGGGTAAAAACAATCTCCTACCTAATGAACCCTCAGCCGATATGGCTGAAATATTGCCAATGTGACGTTAACCATTAACTCACTCACTGAGCATGAGTAGATAACTTTCAGTTGCCTACAATTAGAGTCACAATTTTATGCTTAAAAATCCTTTCAATCTCTACCCAACAAACCATGTGATTGTTTAATTGCCTGCACAAATCATACTACCGAATTGATTTCTAATATGTTGTACTATTGCTTGAGTGATATTGTGTGCTTATTAATTCTTCTCAAAGGAAGAGGGGCGGTGGGGTAGCCTGGTGGTTAAAGCGTTCGCTTGTCACGCCGAAGACCCGGGTTCGATTCCCGACATGGGTACAATGTGTGAAGTCCATTTCTGGTGTCCCCCGCCGTGATATTGCTGGAATATTGCTAAAAGCAGCATAAAACCATATTCACTCACTCACATAGGAAGATTATTAACAGGAGAACCCAAAACAACAAACAAGCCTGTTGTGCCATATTCTAATGGCAGCTGACCACGGCCTTGCGTCGTATTACGCTCTTTGATATCTTGGTAGAAAGAGCATGCTCGATTGCACATCAAAAGTTGTGAAAAGCAGTCACCAGAGGCAGGATCTGGTGGAATATTTCTCAACACAAGAGGAAAGTTTTGTTTTGCTTTGTTTTTTTAAAAAACAGAGACAGATTAACAAACACTTTTTACTCATGAATCAAACAAAAAATATTTCCATGGTTATCAAGTCTTAGCTGATTGTTGATAGAGATATAAAACAAATGATTTATGTGCCCAGTGCAGATTTGAAAAATTAGACATACCAGGAAGGAGGAATTCATCAGAACCAGAAGTCAAGTTCGACCGTCCCGAGTCAGGAACAAGGAATCAAATCAATGTTTGATCATAAGCTTAAGGAGATACTATAGTCTTGGGGATTTTGGAAATTTATTTATTTTATATTCCAATTGTTTTTAATATTTAGTGAAAGAAATAGGCATAATTTCAATGTTAAACAATTCCAAATACACTGATCTGACACGTCCGTGTCATAACAAAAGAAGTTAAAAGATGGAACTTGTTGCCCTGCCTGTAAATAAGTAAATAAATTTGTTGTGCATAAGTTTAACGTGGGATGCGGCAAGACATGAACGAATACAAATTAGAAGTCACCCCAAGCTTCATCAAGCAGAATTATTTAAAAAAATGTTTACTCATTGGTGTAAAAGGTACCCAAAAGACTGGCTCCAAGGAAGAAAAATGTACTGAATACCCCAAAAGAACTTTCAATACCCAATTAGACTGGAACTAAGGAGTAAAAATATACTGAATACACCCCAAAAATTATCAATACCCAATAGACTGGACCCAAGGAGTAAAAATATACTGAATACCCCCCAAAAATTATCAATACCCAATAGACTGGACCCAAGGAGTAAAAATATACTGAATACCCCCCAAAAATTATCAATACCCAATAGTCTGGACCCAAGGAGTAAACATATACTGAATACCCTAAGAAAACTATCAATACCCAATAGAATGGACCCAAGGAGTAAAAAAATACTAACTACCCAATGAACTCTATCAATACCCAATGTGAATGATAACTTGTGAGATTATACCCAGTGGCTCAGTACATTATCTGCAGCCCTGGAAACATCATTTTCAATTAAAATTGTATTTTTACACTTGGTTCCATTATTATACACAAACTCTGACATTCGTAGTGTGTTCTATCACAGGGAACCCTAACTGTGGTACATTGATTCAAGTTTACTTTAATAAAATTTGAAAACTTTAAGAAATAGTTTTAAAAAATCCTTTATCCCAATCCATTCTGGAAAAAAGACGCTTACCTATGCGAGCATGTGCTAATATTTCATCATTTTATCATACATTTCATATATTAACCTTAAGAAATGTCCCCGTTCCAAATGTTGCACTTGTACGCTCTGCGCTGTAACGCCTGACCTAATTATTAATAGCTGACAGCAGTAATAGACAATAAAACATCTAAAGAAGACTTAACTAAAGTCTGCCAAACAGCAACACACGTAATTGACGTTAATACAATTCTCATTTAAATAACGTTTTGTCAAAAAAAGATATATATATATCTCAAGAATTTAAATTTTCGTCGTTGTTAACTGCGACTTGATATTGTGAAGCAGTACTTACAGATTGGCTGCAGTTCTTGGGAGCACATTCACTGTCGTAACGGGTCATGTCTCCTTCAGCGTGAACGCTCGAACATGTCTCCTCGAACTGGACAATTCCGATAATGAGGACCCCAAGGAAAAGTCGTGTAATATCCATGTTCTTTGTCACTTGTTGTCATATATTAAATATATTTGGGTGTCATTCGTGACGCTTAAACGCATGCCCTCAACCAGGAAGTATGTGTACCTGTAACTCATACCCGTTTGATAATCCGGTTTGGATTGGCTGTGTGCCTGTGTCTCGTGGGACGAGGCCCGCGTTGTCAGGTTGACAATCAGCTGGGAGTGCAGTAGGGGGAATTCGGTGATATCATTTACGTCAGTTTAAAGGAAACTAATACGGCTTTGTCAGTGTGTTTTTCTTTCTTTTGACAGCTACAATGTATCGTGATTTAACTTGTTCAATTCAGAAAACTGCCCGTTACGTTTTCTGATTATATCTTCGAGGGAGTGCCGAATTTGATGAAAAAACCCCATTGTATCTGATATACCTTGCATTTTCATTTATGGCAAGTTAGTGTTTTAATACTAAGCACAGATACAAAACACGCAAGTGAGCGAGCTACCTCAAGTTTAACATCGGGAATATTACAGCCGATGGTCAAGGTCTGCATGTGTGTGTGTACGGAAGAGCACAATTTCACATTCGGCAGTTCACTGAGCATAAACAATTTGAACCAAGTTTAACCCTTAATCCATTCGATTAAAAAATGACGATATTTCTCTTATTTATTTTCTGATAGCATATTAAAGCTCGACCGAGTAGGTTAAAACAATACAGTTATGTTTGATTTTGTTTTATATCGGCAAAATAAGGACATGAAAACGTTTAATGTCTTTTCAGTTGAAGGCGATACGCTTATAACAGTATCATGAACAAATGGCGTGGCAGAATAGGGGCCATGTTTGCCTCAATGACAATGTCAAAAAGTTCTGAAGCCACGACAACTTTAAATACTGCCATGAATTATACAGATCACTTGGGTCAATTTTAAGGGTGGAGACGTCATCGGAACAGTTATAGTCTGTCAGACACTATAGAGAATAAATTATTAAAGGAGTCTAGAATGATTTTGCAAGTCTAGATTGCCTCAGCTCAAGGAAATGTATTGCTCTGGGCTCAATCTGGATTTGATTTTATATTTTGTAAATATATAGTTTTCAATAAGATAAGTTTATTTTTTGTTTAAGGAATAGTATGAAGGACGACATCTACCTAAATTAAAGGTCAATCTCATTAAAATCAGATCTTAGTGCTGGACACCGCTACAGCGAGAAGTAAAATCGGATTTCAATGAGATTGATTCAAGGGTAAAGGTTAACATCTTGTAGCCAAACATGGCTTCATTGATTGTCGACACTTTCATATATACATGTGTAGTCATACTCAGGTCAAAAGTGGATAGCTTATAGATGCAAATCTGAGTAATCAAACACGTGCTTTGAAATGCCAAACCCGAAGTAACCAGGAAGATCAAAGGCGAGAAAGGCCTTCAATCGATTGATCGATTTCACTTGGGTTTCAGCGGAAATGCCGAATCATAAATAAATAAATAATCTCCAGAACTGATAATATTTTTTAGGAGAAGAGAGTGGGTGGTGTTTAACGCCGTGGTCAGCAATATTAAAATAATGCATGGCAGTTGCCTTAGAAACCGTGGAGCCTGAAACAGAAAATTATATCGAGTATAGGTCCTAGACTTACATCTAGTCTCTGAAATGAACATATCGTACAGAAAAAAACAGTTGTTCAGTTATCTTAATAAAAATATAATAAAAAGGAGCCCAGTGACTCTCAGTATTTTCAGTATTCCTGATACTGCAGTAATCTAGACTTGCCAAACATTATAGACTTGCATGGGCTGTATTTGATATATATTTGTATGAGGGTCTGTAAAACAAACTATAAAGGTCCCAGTGCCCTGAAATGGGAATATGGTTCCGCAAAGCGATCTTATAGCTATACAGCTGTCGTTAGCCTATGTTAAAGCCAAGAGTAACGATCCCCTTGCGCTAAGATCGCTTCGTGAAGGAATCCGTCTCGCATGTGTCTGGCTCGGTGAGCCGCTCTTATACAATAATCGGGACAATAACCGATGATCAGCTTCACAAGTTATATCCTTGTACGGACTTCAAATATCACGTTTTGCATGAAATGGTGCACCGAACAGACGGGACACATACTCCTTATGTATTTATCCCACCTGTGTGTTCGTTTAGGACACGTGCTTTGTTGATAATTAAACTGACAAATGTGCTACAACCATACCAGTATCTCGAAAGATAAGTTTGGGTTATATATAAATATTAACAACATGTTTATAGGTAACGCACATTTCAGGGGTGAGATAAACTTCTTTTATTTTTTTTTATCTACATACTATTAGTAGTTAGCAGCCAACACATTTACTGTCAGGGGAATTTTATTTTCCTTACATGTTTCTCTTTTCCTTCTTCCTTCATACGGGGGGCACTACCTCTTTCCTTGTATTGAAAGCAGAGACAGGCGTATGACTCGTCATTTATAGGAAACATATTCAAAAATCCTGTAACAACCGTGATTTCAAGATACGTCCTGATCATGTTCCTGGTCTGTGATCAGCACGATGTCCCATGTTCCTGTGACACCTTGGGGACACGGGTGGCCGCAGCTTGCTGACAGTGGGTTCAAATCCCGGAATTACTCTGATTATGATCCGAGGTTTGTCTTCATCAATCCCGTACTCGTTTCTATTAACAAACATCGAACAGACATGCCGTGCAAAAAACTGAAATAGCTCGTCTGGGGACTTCAGGTGCTTATGTTTGTTTGTTTGTTTGTTGTTTAACGCCGCACTCAGTAATATTTCAGCTATATGACGGCGGTCTGTAAATAATCTAGTCTGGACCAGACAATCCAGTGATTGGTATCATGAGCATCGATCCACGCAATTGGGATACAATGACATGCATCAATCAAGACAGCGAGCCTGGCTATCCGATCCCGTTAGTCGCTTCTTTCGACAAGCATAGTCGCCTTTTACAACAAGCATGGGTTGCTGAAGACCTATATTCTACCCCCGATTGTCACGGATGTAAGGTGGTTATGACTGTACGTTGATGTATAGGTTACATGTGAGAACCTGCATCGGACCACAGGCCCCCGTATAGTTGCTATATGTGGTTATTATAGGTATAGGTGCTGTCGTTACCGTATACAGCGTATATACCTACTTATAATACTTTACTATAACCAATGACATTTAAGATCTATATTTTGTTGCCAATAGGAACACTGGGGCGCCTGTGTGCTCTGAGGGCACATTACATTGGCCCATGAGGACGGGTGATGACCTATGGCCGTGGCTGATTGACCAGTTTCATTCGCGAGCATTATTTATTTGGCCTTAATTAGAAACGTCAATATAACAGACCCTCTAGCAGTAGATACAAAAGCTTTAGTATTGGATATAACGAGTGATTGTTTTTTTAGGTCACTTTTTGCACTGTTCTCGTATTATCTCGGCGGGGAATGAGATGAGTCTAACTAAGTATACCTTAAAAACATCCAGGTCAAATATGAAACGCACCTCAGACTTATTCCTGCACAATGACAGTGGAATATATTTATTTATTAGAAAGGAAACAATTTAGATAACTATACAAAGGCAAGTCTAGTCAGCTGTAGCTAGCTCTGTTCAACTATAAAATCAGCATCGGGAAAATTATTTGTTAAATTTTAGAGTGGAGAAGGATATTGTGTAATATAAGATTTCATAGACTAAATGTGCCAGTCTACCTCAGACTATACATAAACTGTTAGCATGACTAACCTAAACCAGATCCGTTGTCCACTAAGAGGTTCTTCCCTACAACATAGTGCCTGTACACTTGTAGGGCTGGGACGAGTCCAAAGTTACTACCCAGGTACCCGACCCCCTATTACCGGACCCTACCGGGGTACCCACTGTAGGTCTCAAGAAACAACATGTCTGGTTGGGAATTGTTTTACCGCAGCCCTGCAAAAACTGTTTAGATACATGTATCAAACGATCAGATCAAGCGTACACTGAAGTTGACTGCAGCTTCATCTTTACTCAAACATATACAAGTCAAAAGGAATGTGTGCATCGTCAGAAAGAAATGCGAAAATTAGCCAATTGTACTGTAACCACTGAGCTAAAGTGAGTTTTTATCATTAAACAACATATCACGTGACTATAACCACGGTTCCTGGTAGTACTCTGGGTACATGGGTCCTACTCCGGACCCAACCGACCCGAGTACCCGAGTTACCCGTCTCAGCCCTATTGGGTGGATCTTCGGTCTCCCAAACCATGCACATGTGTTTGTGATCTCATCGGCAGACATAAAGGCATGTTGAGGTACACGCAACACCTTTTAGTTTAATCCTCATTCTTTGTATTCGTGTTGCTACTCCTCAATAATCTTATGCCACTCGGTGTGATTCATGTTATAAACATGAATCGTGTCAAGTGGCATACGATTATTGACAAGTTTTAAACATCTCCGTGTACCCGCAGATTGGGGCCGTCGTGACGGGGATTCCCCTTACACAGAACGAGGAAGCTGACTGCACTGGGCAAGTTCCCACATGATTCAACTGTGTCGCAAGTTTCTAGTGAGTAACTACAAATTGTGTGACAAGTTCGATCGTGTGCAGGTCGTGAATAACACACACACACACACACGCACGCACGCACGCACGCACGCACGCACGCACGCACACACACACGCTTGCGCTATAAAACTATAAGTCGATTGTGTGTCGCAATAAGCCCCCCGCATTATTTGATACTGTGTTATCTGTGATAGTTCAGACAATAGGTGGCTTAAGACACGGAAGTAACCTATGTTTTTTCTTCTGTATTAAATTCTAAAGGGACCAATTAATGTATCCTAAAATGAGTTAATCCGGAGGGGCATCGTTCGGGTTAATGGGGTTTCATTGTATATTCCCATGACAACGATTGTTGTTGCATCTCTATGCATGCATGGTTCTTTACTGGACTCGATTTGTCTCTAGAGCTAATTAAACTTGATTAATTCAAGACTTGACCATCTGTTTTCTTGTAACTTCGAAACAAGTCGCGCAACATAGTTTACACATTGTTCTAAGAAACTCTCTGATGTGAGGAATTAGTTGTTTTTCGGTGATCTAGGCGACTAAGGTTGTAGGTGTTGTGAGCGAGGGGTGCACTGTCCCC